TWASTCTCACTACAAACCAGAACAACTTGTTGTCTTCATTCTTGTTTGTTCTCAAAATAGTGAGAAAGATTAATGCTGGGCTTTTCACTTGCAAGGCTTTGCTKTTGTGCCTTTGCTTGTAGTAAACACCAGGAAAATTCATTTTGTTACAATTGTTGGAATATGCAATAAGATGTTTTGACAGATTTACATTTTCGTGGGACTTATTCCTCAATCCGTGCTTAGGTCCATACTGTACATCTTTATGTAGTAATGGATACATGGTTTTTACATATTTGTTAAACTCACTTCTTTTGACTGAATTACAATATTAGAATAAAACAGAGTTCTTATTGTCTATTTAAATGTTTTCTTGTAGGAAGTTTGGGTCTGTTAATCTAACTACTGTTAACATCAATGGTGTARCTGCTGCCCTAACAAAGCACAATAAAGGAACTCCAAAGGGAATCAAAGCCTACTTCAGACTTGATGACAGTGGGATGTTCAAACTTGACAAAGTTAGTATTAATCACATTTAGTAGATTTWATCTCCTATTCATTTCCAAATCTGCTTGACATTGGACAAGTACAAGTGGTTATAAAAGATTTGACATCTTATTTAGGTTGAATCAGTCTTCGAAAAGATGCCTGAAGATATTGAGAGTGAACAACAGTCTACATTTGCCAGTAAGTTTGCTAACACTATACAYGATCCTTAATTCTCTCTATTAAGTAAATTTTGCAAATAGATTGTTTGCAAGCTTATGGTAATTTTATATAAATATGGTAGTGCATAACAGTATAGTATAGGAATGTAATGCCATATGATTTATTGTTACAGAGCTTGGAAGTAAAATATCAAGTTTCTTTGGAGGAAGTGAAGAAAAGAAGGATGCAAAACCTGAGGTAGTTATCATAATTATAATTGCTTTGTATATGAATTCCTTGCTTTTGACATTTCTTTTGATCATGATTGCTGATAGAGTCATTTTAATCTTAACAGGAAGCAAAAGAAGAGGAGAAAACAGACAAAGCTAAAGACGACAAACCAGAGAATGAAAAAGAAGAAAAGAAAGAGAAACCAGAAGAGAAAAAAGAATCAAAAGAAAACACAGAAAAAGAAGAAAAGAAAGAAGAAACACAGAAATCAGAGAAAGAAGAGGACAAAAAAGAGAAAGAAGAACCAAAACAAGAAGAGAAGGCAAAAGAACAAGAGAAGGAAAAGAGTAAAGATGATGACAAGAAAGAAGACAAAGAAGAAAAAGACAAGAAAGACACTGATAAGGTGGACTATAGACCAAAAATTGAATGTGTACCACAAATTTGTCTTCTTGTCTTCAACCTCTATTTTGTGGCAGAAGATTTTTGCATTTGATAAAGCTAATATGATACTTTGACTACTATAGGATGCAAAAACCAACAAGACTGAAGAGGCCCCCAAGAAAAAAGAACCTGTCAAACCAGTTTTAGTACGTGAAGCACTAGAAACAGAGATCCAGGTCTTGGACCATATTGACCCCTCAAAGGACAGCATGACTGCTTCCAAAGCCAAGTAAGTATGACATCTTTTATTGTCCAATATGACAGAGCAATTACATTAATCATACAAAATGTGTTCATATTTTAGACTAGAAATGCTTCAAGCCCTTGATGAAGCCAAGAAGGCCAATGAAAAAGCTAAGAATGCACTTGAAAGTCACATATTTGCTATGCGTGATCATGTCGATAGTGAACTTGGAGAGCAGCTATCAACTGAAGTTGAACGGGAAACTATTAGTCAAGCACTAAGCCAAGCCTCTGATTGGCTGGATGAAGATGGTTGGGATGCAAAAGCCGATGTGAGTGATGAGAGTGTTGTTATTATGACAACTGACAAACAACAAATCACATTCTGTTATTAATTCATTTGGACTATTTCAATTCRTTTKTCGATTCATTCATTCATTCAATGGRTCATTCATGCTTTTTTAACAGGCTTATAATGAGAAGTTAAATGCTCTGAGAAAGATCTCCCAAGACTTCAGAAAACGATTGAAGGAACATGAGTTACGTCCTAAAGCAGTAGCAGCATTGTTACAAAGTCTTAATTTGTCTACAACATTTTATCGCCAAGTTCAAAACATGACAGAAAGGAATGAGATTTATACAGCAAGAGATTTAGAAGACCTTGATAAAACCAACAATGAAACCAAGGTAGGTTGAACAAATAGACACCTATCAACTGATTCAACCTAAATACAAGTTTTGGAACTTGTTTAACTTGTTTGTAATGTTTTCTGTAATATGGTCAACTTTTGAACTGTTTCCATTTATTATGTTTTTCACTAGATCATCTTATTTTAACTCTTTCCTTTATATTTTTAACCAGGATTGGCTTACAAAAATGATGAAGAAGCAAAATGAAACAAAACCCCATGAAAACCCAGTAGTGATGGCTAAAGACATTGAAGCAAAACAACTCAAGATAGACAGAGAGTTGGTGTATTTGTTGAACAAAGCTAAATATTATGTACCCAAACCAAAGGTTAATGAAACTACAGGTAGGTATTATATAGAAACAAATCTATGGAAACAGGATGTTGGCAGACAAGTAATTCATAATTATTAGCAACGGTGCTATTATATTCATATCCTGGTATATGTTGTACTGTCTTCTTAATATTCTTGTTTTTGTTTGATAATAGCTGATGCTACTAACAAGACTTCCGGCAACAATACAAAAACCTCTGAGAAAACTACTGAGAAAACAAATGGTTTCAAAACTAAAAAAGCCTTTAAGAAAGAGAAAACTGATAAAGATCAGGAAAAACCAAAACCTACAACAACTCCAGAAAGCACAACAACAAAAGAAGAAAAAACTAAAAATGAGCAAAAACCAGAAGAGCCATTACCAACTCCTGGCAAAGAAGACAAAACTGAAAAACCTAAGAAAGACAATGAAAGTGAGAAAGAATCCAAACCAACTGATGAGTTATAGGATTACTCACTTTGAAAATAATTTATTTAAAAAAATTCAACATCAATCGACACAGATATCAAGTGGTATTCCCCAATAGACAACATCATGGTGACTTGTCAGGTTTCCTGCTTGACAAGTTTAACTTTGTGCACAAGTAAAAGACAAAGATATTTTCAATTCATATTAAATAGGTTTAATTCAAATTCCTCAAAGACTGAAAATGACCATTTTTTTCATTTACAAGTATTCTTATGGAAAACACTTTATACTAAAGCCAGTGCTGACTAGTTGTACTGAATTATTATGCAGAGAAAATGTTCAGCAACAGTGTTAATAAAATATTTCATTATAAAAGAGTAACTGTGGTTGTTGATTTAGTTTATTCTTGCTTTTCACTCAACTTTTTGAGATCAGAAGGGTTACTAATATTAACTGGTGTAATGTTCAAAGCATGTTAGAAAAAGCTTGCRCTTTGGTTTGAACATTATACCAGTTTATACTAGTACCCCTTTAATGTAAAAGGTAGCCCAGCCTTTGCTCAAAGGTAAGACAGTGGTTGATCTCACAGTGACWGATAAGTGAATGAGAAGGCTTGACTAGTTGGAAATACTCCAGTTTTGAATTCTCTTTTGTGCATGCTTAGATTCATTYGAGCATRATTTTTTTCGTGTGTGTCTTCTTTGTACACAGAGTGTTTGAATTACAATAGGATTTCTTCTGAATAAAAGAATATATTACATGGCTTTCAATTAAGGCTGCAAAAATAAGATCTCGAAACTGGAGTAATATAGTGTTTCAAAGTAGAAGTTCAAAGCTATTGCACTTAGTCTCCCTTGAAGCTCTGTTCCTGAGACATCAATAAACCCTTTTAGCRATCTCTTTCTATGCTGTGTTAGCCTCAAAACYATGTAATAAATTATTTCAGTAWCAGKCCRTGYAAATGGARGAGATCCATGAGTATAGAAGACAATGGAAATAGTTTGAAATTTGATTGTGAAACTTGACTATAATGACACCAAGAACAGCTATAAGAGAGAGCGAGAGAAACTCATCTAAACGCTGAAATATGCACATTTTATTTCCCTTTCCATAAACCTATTTACACATCTTGTATTTAATTATTGATAAAAATTAATAACTATTAATGATTAGATTATAAATTTTGCTCCACATTTTTGAATTTGGAGCTTAATTTTTTAATGAAGTAATATTGTAACTTGGCATTGCTATAATATTATTCTAAACATTTTCTTAAATTTGACAGCAAAAATGGCTACTAGCCTATGGATGTGCATGAACCCAAATGAACATTTTATCAAAAATTGAAAATAATAGCTGAGATTTTTATAGAAATAATTACAAAACTTCAATGTAAAAATAATATCATATTCAATTTGGGATTGACTAGAAGCTACTGATGAAACTGTCAGTGMAAAMMARSCMMMARRAWKKTYMATTTACAACCATGTTTAATCCAGCAACAATGGTAAAGACAGAACATCAAAGATAAAATAAAAAACTGGCTGTAGCTACTTATCCATGGAAATATATTTTGTATTTCTGCATTAATGAGTGGCTAGTTAGTACAGAATAATATTGTTATTTAGATTGCACAAACATATTTAGAGGTCAATACTTTGTCACCTCAGAGTCTGAAAATCACATTTAATTTATTAATAATAATTGGAAAACAAAGAAAGGAAAAACAATATTAATCAATTGACTGTTTTAGTTTGCTAACTTTTGCCTGATAAAAATGTGTTCTAGCATATTATCTATAACTCACTGTATATTGATTATAAAAGATCACTTGTATTTTGTTTAGCGTCATCAATACCATTTGAAGGATTCTGAAATTGGTCATTTTGTGATTCAACCTCAGTATTTGACTTTTGACTTTCTGTTGCTAAAAGAATAAAAACAAATACATGGTATATTGAAAAAACGTTTCAAGGACACAAATTAAAAAAAAACAAGCTGAAGGATGGCAGTACTCACCAGAAGAGCCACCTTCAAGCTCAGCAATTGTTGTGGTGCCATGTTTAGCACTCAAAGCTACTCTCTCCCGCATCACCTCAACTGGGACACCCCTAAGATCATTCAGTGACCTTCTCTTTCTACTCCATGTTGAGTTATGTTTTGAATCCTTGGTTGCAGACGAAAAGTCTGTGCTTGAGAATGAACGACTACTCTTTTTTAACTTTTTTTCAAAGAATTTATGTGTTGCACTTTGTGGTGGTGGCTTGATTGATGATTCTAATTGAACTGTTCCATTGTTTTTTGWTGATGATGGTTCAACTGGWAGACTTTGTGACTGAAGTCCTTCTGCATCAGTTACAAAATCATAGTTGACAACACTCAATAGTTCATTTTCACGGTCTGATAAAGTGTCCTTTGTTTTACTGCTATGTCTCAAGCCATGTGGTTTTGGTGGTAAAGGTGGTTTTGAAGGACTAGTGTTTGGCGATTTCCTACTTCCATCCTCAACTGTTTGTCTTTGAATGTTTACGGGTTTTGGCATCAAAGGAGGTTTTTTAGGACTAATTGATGGTGTAACAACACTGTCTATCTTTGGTCCTTGTTGTTGAGAAGTATTATTTGGAGGAGTTTTAATTGTTGGASYGGGTTCATTGATAGGAGTCTTTCTGCTTTCCATACTACAGTAGCAATGCAAAGAGAATATTCAATTCATTATGTTTATGATTATTCAAATTAAGGAAAGAAAAATTCTTTACCTGGCTTGAAATTTTGTTTCTAAAGTATCTTGGATGTTTGGTAAAGTGTTTCTAAGGTTTGGTGTGCCAAGATTACAATACTGACGTAGCTGAAACCAAACACCAAAGATGAGTGAAAAAAAGAAATTAGTTTTGTTGTTGTTTTTCTTTTACACTTGACATACCTGAGCAATGTTTTTGTTTAATAAAAATATTCCATAGTAAAATTGAATTTTCTCTTTTCCTTTTGTGTGCAAAGGGAACCTGAAGTTACATGAAAAAGGATAGTTTTAATGTTGGAATTTTCAAAGTTGAAAATGAAAACAAAGAATCATTCACAAGTAGAAACTCACTCTCTATCTTTCTCTTGAACTTTTTCAATAGTGTAATCCATGATTGTAGATCTAGATCCCATGGGGTTCATGGCATATCGCTGTGGGACCTCTAATATTTTACTTATCATGTATACTAAATGACATGCGTATCCAAGTGCACATGATAAAGTCTCATCATCGGTTGCTATAGTAACAAAAAAGACCCTTAATTTATGATTTTTATTTCCTACAATTTTTTTAAAAAAATGAGACAATAATATTGTTGATAATATTATAGCAAATAACATAAGCATACCAAAAAATTCCTCTGTTTCAGTATTTGGTAGTCGTACTCCACAAATGAAAAAATCTTTTGCACCCATCTATTTTCAAAAATACATTTGCTTTAAAATAAAGGATTTAATGATAATCAAAGAAGTTCATGTACCTGGATTATAGGATAGATATAGGTTAGTTCACGTGTCAGCTGTCTTTTCCTCATGTTTAGCTGAGCATTTAACTTTAAAAGCAATTCTCTGAAATTGAAGTAATATGTCGGCTATAAGGAAACATACAGTTTACAGTGTTGCTTTTTGCAATTGATAACTTTAGGATCAATACCGTTTGTCAACRTGGGCCTGTTTGTGTTCTCTCAAGGAMATATYTTTTTCCTCAAATTCTTTGCGTTTTCTAGATATAGTACGTTCTATTCAATGCAAAAGAGAAAATGAATGAAGAGAAAATATTAATTGGAATTAATGAAAAATATATGAATGACAGAATAAGCAAATAATAAGACGTGGGATGAATGCCAACCTCTTTTCCTTATTGTTTGTAACATTTTTTTCTCTTCTTCTCTTTCTAAAAGCAAAGTACAATGTCACTCAAATTAGATTTAATATTTTTCAGGGCAAACAGCTGAATGTAACTGACCTTTTYTGATTAAAGTATTTTTAGATGCCAACTCTTCTCTCAGCAACTTCAATCTCAACTTGACACTTTCTCGTTTTGATAACTTAAATTATAACAATTTAAATAAATACATTGGAAAACCGAAGAGACATTCACAAACAGACATCATTCATATAAAAGTTTTTTATTTGACAAAAAATTGTCGATTATAACTTATATATTATATAAGTTACCTGCAACATTGATTTTTCTGTAGTTAAAAGGCTGGCTTCTATGGATTGCTGGTACTGTTGTACTGATATTTGAGTTTGTCTGATGGCAAKTTGAAGTGATCGAAGCCTAGCAAACAACAAGACATAAAACAAATACTYCAATTACATTTTACTAAGAGGTTTCAAATTATTGTGCTCACCTTTGAAGGGAAGCCTTATTGTAACTAGACATCACCTGCAGTAAATCAATCAATTTAGTAGTTCATTAGCAAATTCAGTAAACAATTTTCATAATCGCATGAAATGATGTACCTGATCCATRTCAACTTTCACACTTAAATTAAGCTGTGGCTCCAACACACCCTGAAATCAAGCATTTGTTTGTTCATCTTTTGATTGATTGATCATCTTCAAATTACATGTACTCATTCATCTCTTTGTTAGTCAAAGTATCTTCTTCTTTCATTTATTTTGTTTATCATTCACTATCTATCCATTTAATATGGTTAATTCATTTCCTTGATCTCATTCATTCCATTTCGTATAATTCATTTATCCATCTTTCAATTTATTCAATTCATTTTTGATCTATTTATTTGCTTATTTATACATTTATTTAATATTTTATTCATTTTTTTATACCATAGACTTATTTACCTTAGACACAGCATTAGGGGCGCCATAGTAACCATCTACAAGTCCAAAGATTAAAGTATTTGGAGGATGATTAGATGTTTTAACCTGTTACAATATTAAAGATCATGAATTAGTACAATAATTCAGTATTTTTATATCTTTATAAGCACTGCTASGTCCTAATTCCTGCCTATGCGCAGTACCCCGATAAGATATGCTCATTATATAGATAGTAGAATTACTGTGAAGTACCCTAATTGGTGCAAAGTACAAAAGTCTATTCACCTCAATGGTGGATATGACTTAATCATATAACTATGCACCACGTGATAAAATTAAYKGATAAGCCATATAAGGCATAAACACAAAATCAGTTCAAATACTGAATACATGAAAGGGGTYTTTCATTACCAATAGYMAATAAGTCACATTGACATGCAGCATATAAAATTAGAATAATACTGCAAAATAAAAGGCATTAAAAACATAAAAATCCTATTYGTTCAGAATATTTAATTTATTTGCTTACCTGATCTCCAAGATAGTGTAACATTGTCAAATCTACTTTCCATTCAATAATAAGTGAAAATGTACTTCCTTGACCTCCCCATAAACGAACCATGAATACTTGACAATTGTTAAGGAGAATAACAAMATAAAATTACATTTCAAAGGCAGATCCAGGATTTGAGAGCATAGTGACCAGGAAGGAGAAGAATCATGTGACTTTGGCTTAGAGCAGCTAGCATACTAATACGTAAACATAAAAAAAAATTACAAAAGGATACATGTTGATGAGCTCTTCGAGAAWTCATTACCAGTGTTGAGTTCAAAACTTGCCCAAGTTGGGTTCTAAATTCAAATTATTCAAATATCTAATGCCTTCATAATCTTTTTTTAATGATGAAGTTCATGTTATTGTGAATTTAATATGTGCATGATATGATATTGTCAAATGTCATTATATTCATTCCCCTCTCCACTTCTACTTCTCTTTACTAATTTTCATTAACATATTTACAAATAAGTTCATTCTGTCTCCTTTGCCATGCTGAATTATTAATAATTATTGGCTATTATTACTTATAAAAAAATATACCACATACTAAAGAATAGGTGATCTTCTCACTTGTGTAAATAGCTATAACAAGAAAAATAACATCARTGTGACTTGGCACAACATTAGCTCAGTTACAATCAATGTTTTGGTTTTTAGGACTAAACCTTTACTCACCTTCACAACTGCCCTCATAGTCATGYAAAGAGAAGTAAGTCTCAAGGAGACAATCAACTAAAGTATCACCTGACAAAGCAAACTTTGGTATAATGTTCCTTCCAGATACACTGTGCAAATGCCGAAGACGGCGCTATAGACAATGGAACAAAGTATCAACTAGATGTAACATGCTAAAAGTTTATAAATATCTAATCAACTTATATCAATCAACCAATAAAACAATGAAAAGGAGTGCAATTCTTTCCAGGCATTTCACAGAATGGTCATGAAGCCAACAGAAAAWAAACACAGGGTCTCTGGAGGGTCATACACACCCATGCACAAGTTAGCTGCATCTGCTGCTGCAACTGATCAATCAATCCAATCAGCATTAATCCACCAACCAAACAACTAATCAATCATTCAATCTATCGATACAACAACTAATCAATCCATCAATCACTTTGAATGAAAATGAAACTAATATGGAAACCAAACAAACACATCAACAACTTCCTTCAGCTAAAAACAATTTGGTTTGTTTTGACTGCTTTTCCAACGCAAGAAATCAAACAATCTCTAATTAAGCTGGTGGATGGCTAGATAATTTGATTCCGAAGTTTGGAAAGATTTGAACTGTTGATTTTACAAATGAAGGTAGCTTTATAGAATTGCATTTGATCACTGAAGACCTTTACAAGCGATATCACCAACATATCTACAGCTTCCTTTTGATACTATACAGCAATGACAGTTTTCAAATCAATGTCGACAAAATTCTTATTAACCAAACAAAGCACGGTGTAGCACGGTGACTGACATCTCGCGATCGATCTACAGGAGATAATCTTTTTTCGTTCTCTGCATTTTACCTGTTGACTTGCCAAACCAAGATGTCGTATTCTACCAAGGGTTTCTTTACTAGCCATACTATCTTGAATGCATTGATTGCTAAGGCCTTTGCGATMGAGACAATGTCACATTTTATATTTATTTTTCTCGAATTTCCTCTTCGCTCATGGCAGCCATGTTGGACCTTGATAATTTACATATAACAGTCCGCATGCTCTAATGAGTAACCCGCGCCTGCGTTGWATTACCGTCAATGATGGCGGCCACCGAGGGTCAAGGAACTAARATCAATCTTTCTATGCTTATAGATTTCTTRTTGCAGAAGACTTATCATGAACTGACTGTGCTCGCCGAGCTGTAAGTATTATGCAATTCAAAGGCAGTGTTTATTTTCTTAATTGCTTAGCTGCTGAAGGAATAACTTACGCTGATCCTAAACCTATTCGATTTCAATCGTTTAAACACCACTTATAACAGTTCCGTAGCTACTCCAATATTAAATGAAGACCCCGAAAAGATAATTGACAATTCCAAAAGTAAAAAATAAGCGATTTAATCAGCGATCAAMTGATAACATTATCCGTCTGTTATATTCAGCGTCAGTTTATTTCGTTTCAGCTTACCAAGAAAAACTGACATAGAACGGTGAGTTCAAGAATATCCGAGCATCAAGTTTCWTATTTAYTCTATCGATTTTTATTGGTAATACYATATTTAATTATAATAATGAAAACATTAAGCAAACACCACACTTGAGGRCAAATAATAATGATGATGATRATACTAATACTAAATAAGATATAYTCTGAGGTGGTAATCCAGAAAACCTTTTTACCTTTCCTGTCACTTTTTACATCTCAATAGAGCTTTTATTCTTGCGTCATTTCAAAGAGTGACGATCTAATATATTCCCATGTGATCACAGGCATTGTTAAGTTCCTTATTAATGATGTTGTCTTTTGATTGGCTCTTAGAAAAATTGAAATTGTACAGTTTGCCAGCCGCACACGTCAACAGTTTGTAAGGCTCCTGGCCCTGGTGAAATGGGCGTCAAGTGCAGAAAGGGTTGACAAATGTCAGGTATTTAAACACRAAATTAGTATATCATATAAATTCCAAAATCTAGTTTATTAACAGTTAAAATATTATGCTAAAGGTGATTTCCAGCTACTTGGATCAACAGTCYATGGTATTTGTTGACACAGCTGACATGCTTGCTAGAATGGCTAGAGAAACTCTTGTACAGGCCAGGTACTACTGATTTCTCATCCTAGTAAATGCCTATTGTTGATTATCAAAGATAGGGTTGATATTATGACAATTATAGAAAGATTAAAGGATATCCATTATTAGGTTACCTACATTTTGCCTTCCTGCTGCTGTCGATGTCTTGACAACTGGTACTTACTCTAGACTTCCTACTTGTATTAGGGTAAGTTTTGACAAATTAAATTTACAAGTTTTTAAATAAACTTAAAGATAATTGTCATTGAAGAATTTAAGAAATACAATCCAAATAAGAATTCCATTGTTTCTAGGATAAGATAGTTCCACCAGACCCTATTACAACTTCAGAGAAAACCACAACACTTGAAAAACTGAATCAGATAATACAGCATAGRCTAGTGACTACCGATCTGCCATCACAGATGTCTAATATCAGTATTGGTAGGTGTAGAATCATCTTTGATAGYTCTGAAATATTTGCTAATCAGGGTTCAGRGTTTGCTGGTTAGRTTTTGAAGCATTCTTTGCCTTGTAGGGGATGGAAGAGTCAAGTTTCATGTTGATCATGAGTTTGAGGTAAAAAGCTTCATWATGTGTYGATCTGCAATACATTAAAGATCAGGCATACCTTTATCTCACAATCTGGRGTTGCTCTGTTTTTAGGTGACTTTGACAATAATGGGAGACGACCCATCATTACCATGGAGATTGCTGTCTATAGATATTCTTGTCCAAGACATAGAAACAGGAGGTATTCCTGCATTTAGCTCATCAAAGCTGACATCAAAATACGCCTTTACATGTTTTTTATTGATTTATTTTGCAGATGGRAAGCCTCTTGTTCATGATTTCCAGGTACTGTTGTTGATGTCTGTAAAATATACATGAAATTCCATTGTTGCAGTAGTAGTTTGTCAGTCCAACATTTATAAAGATATCAATATATAACTTATCTTTATTTTTATTTTCAGATAAACTACATTCACCGTCTYGTACAGTCCAGACTTTTTCAAGAGGAAAATGCTATCACAGACTTGTACAGCTGTCTACGTATCCTTAGCATCAAATATTTTCTTCCTGGTTGTAATGATTTTGTATAAATATGCATAAATTTTCCGAATACTAAACCATCCATAAGTGACATGGTCTTTCTCCTTAATCATCTATTTAGACACTTTTTGTTTATCACTGCAGTTACAAGTACTCTACTTTCAGGTAATGATGATGATGGTGATGACAGCAATATTTCTGATCATGATAGTGATGATGATAATAGATAATGAGGTCAATGATGGCAGTGATGTCATAATGGTACCTTACCAAGTAAGATATCTGATATTGATTTATATCCAGGCTAAACAGCTGATACATGAGAGATGGAATGACAACATCAGAATAGAAAATAATATTTCTGAACAAACTATTGTATTGCACTACTGGAGGTACGTTTTGCGGTGTACCATTTTATATAGAATTACAATAATTTATTTTTGATATTTCTTTGTCTCCTTGTATCAACATTCAGAAATGCAATTGATCAACAAAGCTCAAGTAAGTACTGGTCTTGGCACCCATCATTTTTTTTTCATGTTTTTTTCCTCACATATTTTTAATTCTATTCAATTAATAGGGGATTCATGTTACTTTTAGCCGTTAATACTGTATAAAACTAAGTTGCATTACCCTTTCACAGCTTCAACTTACAAGTTAAAGATTACSTACAAATCAACCAACAAACCAGCATTTCTAAGACTTSAGTATGAGCCTGAGATCAAGCATCATCCTGAYGAAGACAGAATGGATGTGATTCCTGTATGTGTTTTACTCTAAATAACTATATCCCACTTCCTGATAACTCTTTTTTTTCTCTATTTTAAGCCTGGTGAACTGTATATTGAAAAAGTATTAATCCAAACTATAAAGCTTCAGTCAAATGTCAAGCTTTCTGTAAGTATTCAAAATTGTGCTTGAATAAAATCCACAACCAAAGTCTGACATATTCAATACTAATTGTGATAAACGTTTCTTTGTTAGAATCTGGTCAATTTGCTCTCAGATGAACTTAAGTTAAATTCAAAAGGTACAAATAAGTGTCCAATAGATTACAAGGGYATCCATTCTTCAAATAGCAAAGGAGGACTAGAGGCAAAARGGGGGAAGGGAAAAGAGGGGGAGAAYTACCCCTCATCCAATTTTTTCTTTGTCATATACACTAAGAAGGAGTTAACTTAGCCCAAAGTTACCATGCTTTTTTATTTTTCTACAGTGTTGTTAGACAGAAAGAATTCAACCCTTGCCATCCAGACATGTGATGGTGTCACCCCTTATGAAGTGCTGCTGATTACRGTTGATACACGGTCTGGGGAGTTTAGAGTTGCACTTGGTAGTGGWGAAGGTRGGGCCTTGTTAAAAAAAACAGCAACACTAGTTTCCTAATAGCAGTATTGSTTAAGACGTTATATGTTGCTMTTGCAGAAAATCCAATCTGTACAGCAATGGAGAAAGCACTGAATGCAAATCCAATGCATTTCCCAGTTTTACTTGGRGACGTGAGGTAAGAAATGATCCTTMATCATATTTTACGACAACCTTAGATRCAAGTAGATGACTGCATCATCTTATATTCTTGTTTAGGTGCCAGTTGCATCTTTGTAAATGCCGGTCTTCTGTTGCTATGTTACCAGTGTTAGCAATGGACCGTCTTCCCATATCACTTTCAACTCAATACAAGCTGAGCAGGCTTGGGAAACATWGTATCTTTTTCCAATTTAAAAATCATCAACATTATTTCTTGGTAAGTAAAGACTAATAATATAGTTTTCATTTTGAGTGCACACTTCACTTTATCAATTTATATGCTGACAAATTATTTATTTGTTTCATCAGGTTGTTGATGTACTTAGTGATGAAAAAAGTGACAAAGTTATTGAACAATACTATCTTTTACGCACCAAGAGTGTAAGTGCAGACAATCTTGATGTAGTTAARAAGGAAGAGAAAGGAATAAAAGACATCAAGCAAGTAAAGAAAGAGGAAGASAAGATTTCATGCAAAGCCAAGCATGATCAGTCTTCAACAAGTCAGTCATTGAAGCCACCATTGCTGTTTCTTGATGCTGAAGAGATGGTTGACATTGGCTCAACTCAGATCATAGATTTCCCTAGTTTGGCACTTAGAGGTAAGCACAAGGTAGCTACTATYATAGTTTTTTTTTCTGTGTGTGTATTTTAACTTGTGCATGTCTTGGGTGGTTGCCCTTTCTTTCTTAGCAATGAGMACTAGAAATGATGATGAAAATTCATTCAAACGCAAGGTAAGTACAAAATACAATAGTAAAGTCACAAATGATTAGATTTGTTTTAGCTTGAGAAAGGGATGTTTTATGATRGTCACATATAGATTTTCTCCCCTTCGCCTGAAGTTATTTAAAAATTGAATGGTATTGTTTCCTGTACAGGGACAAAATTACTCAGGAATAGGAAAAATAATTGAAAGTTGTTTTATTTATTATTTATTTAATTATTGATTCAGTTTGAATATAATGATGAAGACCAGCAATCAACCAAAAAACMTAAAACTACTAGAGACTTGTTCCAAGACTGTTCATCTGTGTCCTCATTTCAAGCTCATCTTGCTAGATTGGTTTCCTTGTGTGATTCAAGGATTCCTCTTATGCCATTATGCGATGAGGTAAGCAGTTACATACAATGTTTACTTACAGCTATGTGGACATTTGTTACTTTTTATTAGCATTATCTAAATAACATGTAATTCTTTTCAAGTTACGTCAACATCAAGTCATTCATGATGGTGTCCAGTCTGAAGCAGGGGTTGGTCTATGTATACCAATACTGTATCTTCCTAGTCCTAGTCACTGTGATTCTCAACTAGTATCTAAGCTACAAGAAACCTTGCTTAGTTGTACTGTGAGATTCTCTGGCCAGGACTACCGACAGTGCTCTTTTGAGATGATCTTTTCTGCTTGTCCCTTCCAAAGTAAGATTATTTGTTAGCTGATTAARATTTTGTAAAATGTCATTAGACTGTCATTGATATTATTGATTGGTTGGGTGATCAACTGATTGGTTGATGAATGGTTGACTTACAGGTCATGCAGGGAAACCAGAAGCCAAACGAGTTGTGCTGAGTTATGAGTACACACAAACCAATGATAATAACAAAAGTTCTCGCAGTGTAGTRCAGCAGTTTCTAGATGACTGGTGTAGTATGTGCAAGCTCTATYCACATGTTATGGAACTTGAATTGTGTCTTAAAGGTATGTTGACATTATGTACTCTCTGGTGCTAGATTTGTGATAAATTAAGATTGAAGCTTATAGAAAGCACATTGAAATGCAACAGTAGTTATTTATTGTTGATATAATATGGTTGTTTCTTCATTCTTCAGACAATACAAGTCCTGTAAGACATATGTTTCATGTTGGTTCATATACCTACAAGCAAATTAACCTATTGTATGAACCTGACAGACAAAATGTGGTATGTTAAAGTTGTAAATCTTAAAAAAAGATACCTCAAACAATGCTTAAATTATATGCTATCTTATTACTGATCATRCAAAAGTAAAAAGGCTAGTGTATGCAAGAAACTTATAGAGTGTAGAAAGGATGGACAGAGAAGAGGCTAAGACAAGGAGTTTTAAGAAGTTAAAACTTCTTGAGTTCTGATAGCAGAAGGATAAACAACAAAATTTGTTTAATGTTTTTGTTTCCTCTATTCCAGGTAAATATCCAGTGGTCAGTTCCTGATAATCAGTTTACATTGTCATTTTGTCATGGAGCCAGCAGTGGAGCAAGCAGTCCACATTATGTCATGACTGAACATTTACAGAAGGACTTCAATAAACGATTAAATCTTCCCTACTTAATGCAGGTTAATGAAGAACATTGTTTGAAAACTTAGATACAGCTAGCTTGGTATGCTCATCCAATTTTCTTTCTTCTTTTTATAATCAAAGATTCTACATGAGACATGGAAACCCTTATCTTCATTGAACAAGCTGGCAACATTGCCACAATTGGGTGTAATATCGGTACGTCATTGTACATATACAGATGTGTGTAAATGTGCAGAGGTTGATGGGTATTACTAAAACTATTTTGAGAATGAGTAAAACCTTAGATTTTTTTCTTTTACAGCGTTCCCTGACTGTGCAAAAGAACTTCTCAATTTTACCACAATCTCCAACTTCAGTGTTTTTGATATACAGACAGTATCCTCATGCAGTGTGTTAATGACATCTTTCTAGTGTTTGCTTCTTTGTCTAAACTATATTGTTATCTTGTTTGATTGGTATTTTCATKCATAATAACTATGTTTCCTGTTGGTTGAAAATGGTATCAAATTCTTTAACATATTGCACTAGAAATGTCTTAGAGATTCATTTTAAAGCCAAGAATCTTGTGTCAATCAGAGGTAAGTGTATCTGGAGTTTGTTTTTTTCTTGATTGTTCAAATGTACTAGGTATTTTGCTGTGCTTCACCGTGGCAATGGTGTCATTCATTGTTCTATGATAGGTTTGAGTAATATATTCYTGTCGTTCTAGATGCTGCTTTGAGTTCTGTTGATCCTATGAAAACAAAAACTTCATTGTCTACAATATCSAACCTTAAGGTAAACAACAATCTTATTGATGATGTTGATGTATTAAACTACCCTAAAGGACGGTTTACACTTGCGATTTTTGCAACGCGGTAATCTCCTCTCTTTGCTATCGTGCAACTAAAATCATACGTGTAAACAGCCCTTGGAAAATATTCAAGAAGTTTCAAGGATATTCGATGGTCCACGACGATCACCCAAGAATCGCTCTGTAAAATCTCAAATGTAAATGGGCCTTAAAAGAGTTCTGATAGACCTGAATSTCTTTTTCAGACTTTCCTTCAACAATTTGTAGACGACATAGCTAAAGCTGGTGGTATCCCTTCAAGACGTGGTTCAGAAGCTGATGATGAAATCCCTCCATCACCTGTCAATATCGACTCAGAACCTCCAGCAATGGACATCCCRTTTACWTCTCCCCAACCCATGACATCTCAGAATCTCACCAGCTCACCTATCATCCCTAGAGTATCTCCCAGCAGTTCTGCTCAATCAGCTTCATCAAGAGCAGGATTTACTCCGTCACCAAACCCTATGAATGCACCAAGTCCTAACAATCCTTATTCAAGTCCTTCACCAGGTAGGATTGATTAATCATTTTGCAATTCAGTCTATTTGGAGTCTTCCATTCATTCATCCATTCATTATGTTAACATAATTGGTTTACCTTCATTTATCAGGTATTTATTTATTTATTCATTCAGCAAGTGATCATTTCATTCATTCAACCATCCTTCCATTCAWGGCCCCAGCTTGTTTTTTCTTTTTGTTTTTTCCTTCATTTGACAGCAGGGTGGTCTGAARTTCGTTCACTAATTCTCATCCCTGCCCATGACTATATTCCAACCAGTTACGATAAATGTTAATTTTCGCCGTTTTTCATCAGCTCCATTTATTGGTCATTCGCCGCATCCATATATGCAGATGATGTCACCAGGGTCTTGGTCACCACTACCAGGGGGAAGCCAGGTTAACAAATACAGGTAAATATTAATACTTTTTGATTGTCCAGGAAAACCAGTATGTCATCGATAAAGTCAGGTATTTGTGAAACTCAACATTATAATTGATTCAGTTATTTAAATATTCAGTATTTCACACGTTTCTCTCATTCATTCACTCACTCATTCATTCTTCTCTATTATGACAAATGAATCGTAATCTTGGATTGTTTTGTGTACAGAACAACACAACARGTAACCAAGCAACCTCCAACTCCTCCTCGGCCATTAATTGCCAAGTCCTGGGCTTCTACCTCACCCACTATTTTGTCTCATACTGCCTTTAATCGACTTTGTACACCTGTGAGAACACAGTTACGTTACGATGGTAATCTCAGTCCACTTGAAATGTTCCTTGGAACGATGTTCTTGAAGAAACATTTRTGCAGAGCAATACAGGGTGATGAAATGGTATGTTACACGAGAGATGTATTACGTTGACAGTTGTTTTGAACAGTATCTTGTATTTATATATTTACTGATKACATTTGGTTTGACATTTTAAGATCCAGCACTTGAAGACAGATGCAAGCCTTGTAGCTTTCAAAACCAACAACTTCCATTGTATAGTAAAAGTAGACCCAAGTACCTACACATCACAACGACTAGCKATTAAACCAAGTCAAGGTACCATCTGAACTGAAGAACAATGCTTRGTGTCATGTGTTTACTTTAAGGGCGCCAATAATTCTTCATTCCTTCTTTGACAGCTTTCTCATGTTGTTATTTTACACAGAAAACGTTTGGATGCACGAAGAATTGAATATCTTGGAAAGATTCTTTGAAACTAGAGTAAGTAACAATAAACAGAGTCATAACATCACCAGTTTGAGTGAAATGCCCTTAATAAGACCAATAGTTGTACAAAAGCGAAAATACTTTTAACACGTATTGGTACGTTACAGGTTGCTTGTGCTCCTTATAAAGCCAATAGTCTGACGTCGTTTGCTCGCATTCTTACTTTTCCCACCAATGTACTGAAAGATATGATTAGAATTATTAGACTTGAAATGGTAAGTTTGTCTGTTTTTTTTTTTTTTGTTTTGTTTTTTTTAATTTATCTCGTTTCGCATCTTATTTCTCAATTCTTTTTTAATACTTCTCTCATCCATTTATCTGATCATTTAACGTTCTCTTTTTGTATTTTTTTCTAGAACCCTGATCCGAGCAACAAGTGGCGCGTAGAATGGTGTTTGACTATCCCACCAAACAGTCCCAAGATGCCTTTCTCGATTGGAACTATCTCTGTCGTCTTTAAAACGAAACTGTTAATATTTGTGAGTATGCTACTGTGATAGTGTTCAGTATTCTAGGATCTYTACGCAAGTATTTCAGCTCAACAAATGGTGTTCTGTTATCAAGCTGTGAYCTGATCAGTAAGGAMCAGGACAAAATAAAATKTGATGTTTTTTTGTACGCTTTTCAAACAGATTCAGCTCACACGAGCAGTTCCCCAAGGGACCATATCGTATGACTCAATCGTGATCCCTCTCGTATACGACCAAACAACCAACACCACCCAGCAACTGCCAGAAAACACCGCCAAACAGACTGATGTCACTCGTCAAGCTACTAGTACCCAAACCTCTTCTTCTGTTGCTGCAATAAATGCAGTATTAAAGAAATTCATGGAATCTCCAGCATCGAAAACTGGTAAGAATAGATGGTGATCTTACCTTAGTTAAAAATAATATGAAAAACTAAAATCAATCTTTTTCTTTCAGGAGAATGCACTATTTTCCCTACTGTTCTGGAGTTAGCCAGGAACTTAGTTCTGCCTCCGTCTTCGCACATGTCAGGGGGTGTTTATACTGATAGTCTCACGTGATCAGGTCACAAATATCCGAAAATATGGATTTGRAAATAGAGTAGAAATAGGTTTGTACGTCTAGGAGATGCCGTAGATATTGTTGTGGTGGCAAGATGGTTGGTACATCTAACTTTTGATATAAGGTGTACACATAAGTTAAATTATTATAGAACATATTTATCGAATGTAGGATTAAAAAGAGATATATGCTGAAATGTTTGTGTGATTTCACTTAAAACCCACATTGGATGAACACTGATATCGTTCCGATCAATCAATCAATCAATCAATCAATCAATCAATCAATCAATCAATCAATCAATCAATCAATTAATCAATAAAATATATAAATAAATAATAAATCTGGTTCCTCGCTCCCTTTGCCAATGATCTTCTGTGTCTTTTTTTCCAGTTTCTCGGCCCTTTTCGTTGAGAAGCGTCAATTTTGGGTTCTCACTTTCTAAATAGACATGAGTTACATTTCATCCAAATCAAAAAACACCGTTTTCACAGCAAAATACTCCTGAGCATCGTGATTTATGCGAAAGAAAGTCCTAAAGTCCGTCTTTAAAAAATAGCTCTCCTTACAGGTTGGTTGACAAAGTGTTGCTATTGGTTCAAAATTATCAAGACGAAGACTAATTGTAGCTAATTGTAGACTATCGTACGGTGTAAATCAATTCTTTTATTTCCTATCATTTAGCAAAACACATTCCACAAACCATGGACCGCGCGAATTTTGTATAGGGGGGGGGATCCGGGGCAGAATTCTGGGAGTGAGGAACGAACGACAGAAGATTACCCCTGGGTTCCCGGCCGAGGATCATAGTTTCTTAACTGCGGAAAGAATGCAATCAAAATATTCCATAGGACCCTCGCCCTTCAGTATCTGACGCAGGACTTGAAGTTAACCTTTTAACGTTTCCAACTTATGTCGTCACATATGCCTTCAGTATAGTCGAGCTCTGATCATTGATTTTTTTTTAATTGGCTTATCGATTTCATTTATTATTAATTTTTCGGAAGCAAAACGTTTTTGACATATACTGAAGAAGGCGTTTGTCCTCACCCCAGCAAAGCACTACTCTGACACTTTTCCAGCCAGCTTTTGGATCATGTAGATATAAAGACATCAAGCCTATGCTCCAATGGTGTCGGTCTTGTTATCACACAGAGGCTACGGTATGGCTWGGGTTAAAGTAAGTGACTACAAAAATTCCAGCGGTAAACATTTTCATGCTATAGAAGACTATAGGCTACAAGTAAAAAAAAAGCCTATGAAGTTAATAAAATCGTGGAAAGGAAACTTTTAAAARAAGAAGAAAACTAACCGTGTTGGGACTCGAACCCATGACAACCAAATCGAAAAAGATTGGGACGATTCCCCCGAGACATTCTGTGAAGCTGAGGCGTCGAATCGACTTACATTACGGTTAGAGATTTCGGCTCTTCCATGCTATCCCGATAATTGGTCCTAACTTCGCGCTAACTAAAAAGCCAGTGAGGGAGAAGCTATCCGGCCCCTAGACTCTGATGGATAACCCCTTGCACTAACTAGGCAACTACCGAAAGTATAATGTCAAGTTGGGGTAGTCTATTCGGTGAAAGTGCCAAGTGGTCTATTATTATGTAAATGAGCGTGGTCTTGTGGCGCAACTCGTTAAGGCGCTGTTTTTCAGTCCCAAGGACAGAGGACCTCCCAGAGATCTAATTCATTTAACGTATCCAAAAAATGTGATACAGTAACTAAAACTCTTTTTTCTCTCTTTTTTTAAATCGTTTGTAATTCTTATCCCATTTTTGCTCTTTTATTTACATGTGTTAAAAAAAAAGAAAAAAAGGCAAAGGAATAAAAACTTTGCTCAACTCGAAATAGCTGTGGGAGTCCTGTGCYAGTGAGGGCATGGTAACAGAAGGAAGAACAAAATGGCGGCTACAAGTGGGGCGGCAAAAGGGAAGGGACAAATATCACAAGAACAAATTATACAGCAGTTCAATCAAATGAGACAAGACTTAACTAGTATGTTAACGAAAATTCACGAGTTAGAGATGGACCAGAACGAACACAGGTGAGCTTAGAGATAGTCAATGGACTAGCAAAGACTGCAAGAAGACRGTGCTAAAAAAAGCTATTCACGTGCATGTTTGTCAATTCTGTTGCGGCAGATTTTACTAAATATACAAAACCAAATTGTTTGATTGTATGAGAATCTTTGTATATTTTTGTGTTTTATAGTTTTTAAGTGAGAACAAGAATGCAGCATAGAAAAGTATTGACAGAAAGTCAGACAAGTTAAACTATGTGCTGTTGTCAACCAACTAACTACTAACAAAGAAATGAAAAATCTATTAGTTTAGGTCTTTTCTTATAATAAAATGACAGTGAATCGTCTAAACTGAATTCCAAATTAGATTTTATAAAAACGGAAATATCTTCTTCTTCCAACTCCATATGTATTCTTACATCATTGTATTTCTGTACCTTTCTGAACATAGTTTTGGTGTGTTTTTTTTTTAGTGTTGTGATTGATGCTTTGAAGGGGGTGGACCCCACTAGAAAGTGTTTCAGAATGATTGGCGGTGTTCTTGTGGAGAGAACTGTGGGTGATGTCTTACCAGCTTTGGAAAATAATCGAGTACAGGTATAAAACAAAACMARCTTTGGTGTATTTGGGGTATCGCTGTAGGAMAGTCTGAAGTATTTCAGTGCTTTCATACATCTATTGCAAACTTTCAGGAGTACACTCTTGCGTTATATTTGTACATGTATTACAGGATAAAAATTTTGTGGATAATATACAGCATTAAGTTTAATAGAACCCTAGTAAAAACACTGTTTTTATTGAGGAGTAGGGTAACACAAACAGCATTAAGAAAAGGGGGAGATAGAAGAAGCAATGATCTGTCTTTGTTGACATTTACAGTTGTTTGAAAAAAACCTGAGCACCTAAAATATGTCTGGTAGTCTGGAATGTTTGTGACTTTGATTCTTTGGTGAAAATATGACAAGAATCGAAACATTGTTTAAGCAAGATGACAATTTAAGGAAGACRGATCTTCTTGTCGTTATATATGAAGTTTATTGGCATTAACATGGCTTTCATGAGATTGTTTACATGGCTACAAACCTTCCACACATATTTAAGGTGCTCGTGGTTCTTTTCAAATGACTGTAAATAATATCTAATTTTATTAAYTGTATTTTTGCCAAAGATTTTTTGGTTCTTTAAACTATGACATCTCTCTTTCAGATGGGAACTCTTGTAGAACGTCTAAAGCAAAATATGACATCTAAAGAACAGGAATTTAACAACTTCAAGGAGAAATATAACATTAGATTGAAGGGAGAAAAAGACAGTAATCCTGAAAACAATAGTCAAAATACTGATAAATCTTCTGGTGTATTAGTAGCTCATGACAAGGCATAGATTGAACAGTGCTATCATATTTTTAGTGTTTGAATGCTTGGTGTAGTGAAAATGAATAAGGTCTTGATGTATATATATATCAAGTCTCCATATTCAATGTTTTTTATTTCAACAATATCATATAGTCAAGTTTGTCTTTCCTGTTTAGTATAATACAGAAGATATTTAATATGTAACCTTGTATAGGAGCATTGAAGAAAAATAAATGAATTCACTGTACATTTTTCACTCTTAAAAAGACTCAGTGTATGAAATATGGAGTAACAGTGTTGTATTTTAAACAATACAGCTATAATATTGGACTTTCTGTCTTAAACTTAACCCATATCAAGACAGGAAGCTCAATGCCAAACATGAGGCATTGATTTTGCGAATGCAAAAATAAGTCTTGCAAGTTACTCATTTTATATAAAACATTCCAATTCTCCAAATAAATTTAGTGTGCGTGATACATCTCACTATGAAGTATTTACCTTCAATAGAAATGACTTCCTTCTTGTGACAAGGTCATGATTYCCATATTTGGAAATTGCGTGAGCGATCACGTTTGTAGCGCGCGCTTTGCSCAAGTAAATCAGTTCTGCTCCAGATTCGGTCGTGTTTGGTTGTGTTTTCTCTCTGTGTGTTATCTTTCTCCAACAACTTATATCGAACCTACAGCAAATAACTAGTACAAGAAAATCCATCACTTTTCAACCCGGTCACATTCTGTTAATCACTTATTTCTTGCAGCTCATCATCACATTATGTTGTTTGTGTTTTTTTAGTTTCATGTGGTACACAATTTGTAAGTCTCATACTAGACCTGCAAGGAACACCCCAACCCAAATGCTGCAGTTTACCATGAAAACAATGAATATGAAATGATTGACAGTAATGTTGGCGTAAATAAATAGGCTGTGTTTTATTCAGAGTAACACATTAAGACTTCTACATATTACATGTAAGTACATTTTGTGTTTCAAGATGAGGACCTGCAGCAATGAGACATTTTCATGTCTCTTGTTTTTTTTGTTTTTTTGTTTTTGTTTTTTTGTTTTTGTTTTTTTTCTAAAGATAATTTCAACTTAGTATACTTTAAACCAGGATTGTTTAAACACCTTTGCTTTCCATGACATTCTAGGCCTATAGAACACATCAAATACTGAGTTAAGAGACTTAGGATGAATAACATTTTCAATGATTTTTCTTGTTTCTGACAAGTGAAAAGCACTTCCTTTCAGTAGAAATAAAAATTCCCTTAAAAGTTTCTCTGGRACTTTTTCTTCAAAATCTCTTTTTGASACAAGAATTGTATCAAGTTTCCTAAACATCTTGACAGTCATGTTGTCACCTCTGAGCAGTGCTACGGTGATTGCTACCATATCTCTTGTTGGATATTTAAGATTCTCAATAATTGAATACAATGAATCATGTAATGCTTGTGAAACACGTTGAGCTAAAYTGTCAACCCTTGTGAAAGCAAGACCCATTAGCGCAAGATCTCTAGATTCAAACAAACTCAATTCTCGTGATAAAAGCTCTGTACAAACTTCATCTAAAAGTCTGTTGGCTGGTATGTCAAGTTCCACAAAAGCCCAGGCAATTTCACATAGGACTGTATTGGAGAATGAGACAAGTGGACGGCACAACAGTTCTTTCTCAATTTCTTTCATTAACTCAAGTGAGTTTTTGTTCTTTGCAAATCCAAAAGCATAGCAAAGCATCCCAATGTTATCAGAAGTAAATGCCTTCATACCAAGAGCTTGAATTGCTTTGATAAATGGATAGTATTTGTGTTCTTCGGTTATCCTCATGAGACTGAGACTAACTACAACATTCACAATTTCGTTTGGTGACAACTTTTTGGATGAAGTAGTAACAGATCTAATGATCTCATGCAATGAATTTGTRTTCATATCGAAGTGCAGTCTTTCTTTTCTGTTGCTATCATAAAGTTGTCCTAAACGACTCAAAGTCGTCACCTTATTTGAYAGACTCAAAGCTTCACTTCGTTTGCTGCTGTTGTACAAGAACAACAGTCTCCCCATTGAATACGCTTTTGCCAGCTTTTCCCCCAATTCTACATCTTTTGGCGGTTTAAAAGATAARCCCTCTAGATTCCTCTGTCTTAGTTTTTTCAACGCTTCTCTAGATCTTTCTATGCTGGCTTCTTTCTTTTTGTGGATCCTCTCGAGTTTTATTCTATCTCTGGTTTGAATTTGCCGAAATGTTTGCCTTTGAAGAAGRCACGCCCATTTTAAAGGAAAGACTCTTAATCTCAACATCTTCTGCTCAAATACAGTACAATTTCTTGTCAAAATTACAGAAAACAGACCACAGACGCCATATTGGATTCAAGTGGTGTTACTCGCAGCACAGGCAACCCAAGCTAAGTTATGTTTATATGTACGGTCGAATTATTTGTGTTTTTATGAATACAAATGACTCACAATTAAAAATTGATGTTGCTTTTATCACTTGGCGGAGTTTGAAGCCATTGGGAAGGCATTTCACAGGGTTTTCGTATTTCCTTTTTCGAACACTAATGAGATTGGAGATTGGGCTGCCTGTGCTCGTAGAGAAAAGTCTCTGGGAATATCATATAGAACTAGACTCTAAATCTCTTCTGAAAATCCCTTATAAATCAGGAAAAAAATCCAGAATAGAAGGTCTCGAAGGWCTTTCAWTTTGAGTTTAGAATTCGTCAACCCCCTCTCCCTCCCCTCCCATTCCTATATTTGTCTCCACGTGCTCGTCTAGTGACGTCATGATAGGTGGACTGGTTCCTCAGCTGCCTTCCCGTCATTTCACTTCGTCAAGGTGAACAAGACAAAGTTGGCTGCCAAGTTATTTGGACCMAAAAAAACTTTTTTCTCRTCAATATCGMACATTCATCGACAGGAAAAGAATCAGGATCATTTCAGTTATGAGTCATGTGGCCCCAGGGAATCAACAGAGTCTAGACCAGCGTGTAAGTGCTGTTTGGGAAAAACTTTTTACTGGTTTTATAACCGGTGCCATTTTGAATCATAGATTTTAACCGGTATTGTGTTTTCTTGGAAAGTATGTCTGTCCTTGTTTCATTCCTTCGTTTATCTCCCCATAATGTAGTCATAATTTGATGTTGCCGGCTTTCTTTACAGTTTGCTGGACTAGACTTGAACTCCGGTGTCGGAAACAACCCCGACGCTGGACACAACCAAAGACAACGTGAGTACACTCTCTACAAACGCGAAATCTTTATTTTCTGTGTGGCAAAWATGGATTCTTTGATGGGCGAGAAATAGTGACTGAAAATTTATTTGTTCATAATSATATTGGATTATTTGTGCAATATCCTTTCTCGATAAATTCTTTGAACATGTGGCCTCCTTTGTGTTTTATAATTTATCAGAGATTTTGGTTTAGATCTAGAAATCTTGATTTTTCTCAATCTTATTCCTTTACTTTTCTTTTCTATTTTTGCAGAACGATATGTGCCTCCTCATTTAAGGAGGAATCCTCAGGAACTTTTTCACAACGATCCAAGGAACCCGGTTAATTTTCCTTCAGGAGGTGCCCCTCAACAATTCCAAGGTGGTGGAAGAGATGGCGCATTCAGAGGTGCGAAATTAGAATTWGTATTTCTTTACTTTTTGATCAGCTCATTGTCTGACTTTGACATGCATTTGCTCTTTCAARATGTTRMGAACATAATGCAGACTATTTTGGTACAGTTTGAATTGTTGTCTTGTGTGGGTGATCTTTTTCTGTCTGGAGCAAGGTTTTGTGAGAACTGAAATCCAATCGCATTTCTTTGAAATTCAATAGTTGGCGTGGGTTCMTCGGTAAAAGCGTACAACAATGGTCTATTTGTGAAAAATACTTATTGTCAAATCCATATTTACTGAAATGTTTTAACCACAATTTTGGACTGAATGCTAAATTATGGAGRTKAATGGCCTGTTTCTCATGGGAGRCAGGCTGCCAAATTTGCACTAGAAATTGCTAACTTTTAATTGGAATTTGAAAACTTTCTTGTTCCTTTTTCTTAACCTGGGTATTTCTATGGAATTTAACTAATTAGTGCATATCATAAAGTAGTTCTCATATTTTAATTGGCATATTTTGTTGTGCAAGTCATTACAAATGGAAGTAGACATGAATCTCTTTTTGAAACTCCTAAGAGATTGCACTTGAAACAAAGTGGTAGACTTGGCTTTGCAAAACCAATAATTACCCTTCAGTAAGACAAATGTGGCATAATAGTTTCACTAGGTGCTGTGAAATATTTTCCAATGTTTGAAGCCATAAACTGCTTTATATCATCCATTATGTTTGAAACCAAAAAGAGTCTTGATGCTTTTTACAATACATTAATATAGAAAAGATTTTAAGTGTACTGTAGCCCCTACCATGTGAGGTTCTTTGACTGTTCTTTTCATTTGTCAAGCTGTTATTGCACCATTGCGTGGTCATCTATACAACAGAGTGGTTTGTGCTATATTARAAGCTCATTATCAAAGAGCAAGCATGCTTGTCTATGCTTTGACATGTTAACAAATGTTGAATTGATTCCCTATATCATGATTTTGAAAACATCTGAGAACCATTRTTTGTTTTGTAGGTATGAACTATGGTGGAAAGTACAATAATTTTGGAGGTGGTGGTGGTTATGGTGGTGGTGGTGGTGGTTATGGAGGTAGGGGAGGGTATGGTGGTGCTGGATATCGTCGTGGTGGAGGTGGAGGTAACTGGAGAGAGCGAGGAGGGAACAACTATTGGGGCAATAACTCTGGATATGACGATAGAGGTAGAGTACCTTCCACAATTATTAAAATATATAACTGTGAATATACAAGCAACTTTATTGTTATCCTTCTTTCCATCAACAGTCTTGTTGTAAAGATGGCTGTTAGTTTTAATGATAACTATTGATTAATTTTTTTCTGTTTATTGATTTAATGATTAGATTCATATGCAAAGACTGCTCGTCCAGAAGACTGGTCTAAGTTACTGCCAAAGAATGATCGTATAGAGAGGTTTGTATTATTATCTTGTATGTATGTAATGTATTGTTATATGATAATTGTAATTCATGTTTTTCTATCTTTCACTAGGGAACTTTTTGGTGGACACAACACAGGTATCAACTTTGAAAAGTATGATGACATCCCTGTAGAAGCCACTGGACAGGATTGCCCACAAAACATTGAATCAGTATGTCTGGGTTTGAATTGATCTTTTTCGATCAAGGCTGTAGTTTTTGTTGTTAACCTTACATTTAATTTTGATGTAGTTTACTGATGTTGATCAATGCTGTAGTTTTTGTTGTTAACCTTACATTTAATTTTGATGTAGTTTACTGATGTTGATCAATGCTGTAGTTTTTGTTGTTAACCTTACATTTAATTTTGATGTAGTTTACTGATGTTGATCTGGGAGAGATTCTAACACACAACATCCAGGTGAGTTTAGAGTCTTATTATTTTATTCCATTAATATGATAAATGCAATGGAATATAATGTAATTATATTGTACTTGTAGCTTGCTAACTACAGCAAACCAACACCAGTTCAAAAGTATGCCATACCAATTGTCAAACACAAGAGAGATTTGATGGCTTGTGCACAAACAGGTTTGTTTGCTATCATGGATTGAATTGTGTGCATGAGAAATATTCATCACTTGTTTTTCCATTAGGATCTGGTAARACAGCAGCATTTTTGATTCCTATTCTGAGTAGGATATACCAGGAAGGACCACCTCCAGCACCTGATGTAAGTTGACAACATAATATTATAATAACWTTAACATGACATTTCTTTTGTGTCTGCATACTAGTACATGTAAGGGTTCGTGCTACTCCTTAAATCCTTGAAAAGTCCTGGAATTGAAAACTCATTTTCAAGGGCGCTTAAAAGCCCTTGAAAATTGGGAAAATCGCTGAAACTCCTGGAAAACTCCTTGAATCTGATAAAATTGACATGTTGAATGCTAGCTTTTGGATTGAAATGTGTCATCACTGAAAAGTCTGCAAACATCAAAAAATATCTTCAAAATACTCCTTGCATTCTTGTTCTTAAAAAGTACTTGAAAAGTCCTGGAATTTTGTAGTGAAAATCCCTGACGTATATACTCACCATGTTAGTTTTTTCTAACATCTTTATCCAAATGAAACTTCTAAACAGGCAAAGCATACATCAAGACGCCGTCAGTACCCAGTATGTCTGGTCTTAGCACCAACTAGAGAGCTAGCTGTCCAGATATTTGATGAAGCTAGAAAGGTATTAACAGCATACTTTGCATACTGCTTTCTTGTAAGACCTTGTGTAGGTGCTAATGTAATGTGTTGTTTAGTTTGCATACTGCTTTCTTGTAAGACCTTGTGTAGGTGCTAATGTAATGTGTTGTTTAGTTTGCATACTGCTTTCTTGTAAGACCTTGTGTAGGTGCTAATGTAATGTGTTGTTTAGTTTGCATACTGCTCTCTGGTAAGACCTTGTGTAGTTTATGGTGGTGCTGACATTGGTAGCCAGTTAAGGGAACTAGATAGAGGATGTCATCTCCTTGTAGCTACACCTGGACGTTTGGTTGAYATGATGGATAGAGGTCGCATTGGTCTTGATGTCATTAAGTGAGTTACTCTCTTTTACCAGTTAATAGAAAACAACTTTGATAAATGCACTCTAGTTCTAAATACTTTGTTGTGCAATTCTACTTACACATCAGTTCTGTGTTKTTGAACTATGTATGTACATAATATGTGTAAATTATTGATGTACCTTTKAAACTCCTTCTGTTAATGTTCTTGTATTTTTTCTTAGATTCCTTGTACTTGATGAGGCTGATCGTATGTTAGACATGGGTTTTGAGCCTCAGATTCGACGCATTGTTGATCAGGATACCATGCCAAAGGCAGGTGACAGGCAAACTTTGATGTTCAGTGCCACTTTTCCYAAGGAAATCCAAGTAAGTGTTCAAAGAAATCCCCATATTTAATCCCTTATTCAATATTTTCTGGTATTCTGACATCTTGGTTTATTCTAGATACTTGCCAGGGATTTCCTGGACAACTACATTTTCTTGGCTGTTGGACGTGTTGGCTCTACCAGTGAAAACATCACACAAAAGATTGTATGGGTAGATGAGTATGACAAACGCTCTTTCCTTCTGGATCTCCTGAATGCTTCAGGTATWTATCTGAATAACTTGTGCTAGTTGTGTTTGGTTTTAATATTGTAGAAATTGTAATTTGTTGATGTGTTTTTTGGATGTAATTGTATGTATCATGTTAAGATTGTCAGCGAAATAGGAAATAATCTGATAGTATAATGTTATAATTTCTTTCAGGTCCTGATGCTCTAACCCTAGTGTTTGTTGAAACCAAGAAAGGTGCCGATTCTCTTGAATTGTTTCTTTACAAAGATGGTTACCAGTGTACGTCAATCCATGGTGACCGTTCACAATCAGAGAGAGAGGAAGCTTTRAGGTCATTCCGTAGCGGCAAGACACCAATTTTGGTTGCAACAGCTGTAAGCARTTTCTTATRTCAATAATTAGGATCTGGTAATCATGTGAAGACTAACCTGTGTTGTACATTTATTTAACAGGTTGCAGCACGTGGTCTTGACATTAACAATGTCCGTCATGTCATTAATTTTGACCTTCCTTCTGATATTGAAGAATATGTGCATCGTATTGGACGTACTGGAAGGGTGGGCCATACTGGTAAGGRCACGTTTGTCGATATAGGAACRTATAGTGATATTAAAACACTCCATGTTCTGTGTTAGGACTAGCCACATCRTTCTTCAATGAAAAGAACAAGAATGTTGCCAAAGATCTACTGTCTTTAGTGACTGAAACTGGTCAAGAAGTCCCATCATGGCTAGAATCCATTGCCTATGAGTCCAATCAAAACTCCAAAAGAGGTCCTCGAAGGTAATCATAGTTCATGAAAAGAATTAAAGCAAATTTTGACATCGCTCTTGAGTGTGTGGTAATAACTAYRTATAATAATGCTATTATGTTTCTAATTCAGGTATGGAGGCTTTGGAGGTAGTCGAGATTACCGTCAGCAGAGAGGCAACAGTGCACAGATGAACCAGATGCATGGCTATGGTGGTTACGGAGGAGGAGGAGGTGGTTATATGCATTATGGAGGCTACAGTGGTGGTGGCGGCGGCGGCGGCAGCGGCGGTCGTTATCATGGTGGTGGTGGTGGTGGTGGGGGCCAAGATTGGTGGAATTAATCCACATCTTGGTACAACACTAGTAATTGTGTTACTGTAGTTTGCTTGTTTGGCCAAGTCTGACATCAAATACTGTAAGTGATCCTGTCAAGGTCTGCAGAGTAATTAGCACATGGAGCCCTTTGTGATGGGCTGTTCTAGAGTCTTTTTTCTATTGTTTTGTTATTGGCTGTTTTCATTGATCATGTCTTTCTAGGCACTGCCTTMTTTGTAATGACCACTAGTTGCTGGTCAACTTTAGTGATCAATGACAATATATATTTGTAAATCTTCTGCAGGGCAATTCATATTATTATTACTAYGGTTCATGTTCTACATTATTGATAAATTTAAATTTGAAAAGATGAAATTCCATACTTGGATTTGGTATATATGAAAACAATAAATCAATAAGTTATCATATTGTGCAATTTTAACATATGACRGGGTAGTATTTGAAAACATTAGACATTTCCGACTTTCACATGCAAGTCATTTCTACATTTTCRATGAAATGCCTGGTGTTTTTATGACTACTGTAGTGCTGCCATTTTAGCCTTTACAAATAGCTAAGATTGTTGTGTTTTTTGTATTAATCAAAAAGGTATCAAAATTGTTTAGATTGAAGCCAAAGATTTATTGAGAGAAAATAACCACATCTGTGATTGATTAGATTGTTTACATCAATGATATCTTTTCATATCAGAAAGTTGAACAATTCTTTCCATTACTGCAAGCTTTGAATAGCAAATTCATATCATATAATAATATAGGAAAACTATTTTATTTTAGATAATATCTATGGCAATATATAAAGACTAGGCCTTTGTGCAGCCTATTAGGGTTATCAATGGACATAATTGTAAATATTCACAAAGCCAAGGGTTAGAAGTACTATAATATACTGAAGAAATACATTTTCTTCAATGCAATTTTTAGGGATTTCTACATATTACATAATCAACTGTCCAGGCTGGTTATGATGGAGATCTAAGTTCTCCTTTAGCATTCATAGAAATTGAGGAGAATTTAAATTATAATCAGACATGCATTCTTGTACAGGATTCAAATTACAAATAGAAGAAATCAGAGTTTTTATAAGTTTACTAACTAATTGCGTTTTGCATTGCACCACATGAGTGGTTATTTTATTTTATATTTTTGATAGAATAGTTGACAATATTTGTAAACAACAAATCTATACAGAAATCCTGTTTCCCATTGAAWGAAATTCAGCTCATTATTATTAAGACTACAAATGCCTGCTCCATGTTACACTACCAATTGTGTCCTGGTTGTTTATTAATGGGATATTGTGTATGAATCAAACATTTTGACAACAAATTGTCAAGGAAATGAGGCCATAGCAACATTCCAAAGAAAACAGTAACAAGCTTGAATCAAACAACAGGAAAACAATTGATATTTCCATGAAAGTTGTTGTTCTATGGAGTTGTGTTTGTAAAATCAACGTAGATATGTACAGGAGAATCCTATGTCAGGCAATCATTCAAATTGTATATTATATCAAATAAGAAAACTTTTCATCCTTGGCCATTTTGAGACTTCAAACTTGTCAAAACTCAAAGATCTTTCTAGATGGTAACTTATATCTCATAAATATAAATTATATTCAAGATAATTAAGTTCTTTATACAATAGTATTTGTTCTTTATTTGACTTGTCCAGCTAACCCTTTAAATTACATTTGTACAAAGGTCTTATGCATATTTAGAACTTATTTATTGGTCTTAAAATTATAGGATTAATAAGATTATTTTTTGTTATTTTTGCAACCTAAGATGGCTATAACACTATATTCTATTTCAAAGTGTTGCTCACTCGTGAACTAATTTCCCAGTTTTTATCCCAAAGTTAAACGAATCTTTTATTAAATTTGTAATAATTTTTCACAATATTGACCATGTTCAGCTATTTCAGAAAGCGTTGAGTAATACAAAACATAGTGTATTCCAAAACCGAATCGTTTCAACACTCGAAGTAATGAATTCAAAATGTTGTTTTTACTTTATTTCCATGGAATCCCATGGCAACAATGCATGTCGGTTTTAGAATACTCTATTCAATATCACAACATTYAGTACTCAACATTTTTAAAATTGCTGCATAGGAAAAACGATTCAGTTTTACTCAGTGACAACATTTTTGAAACTGTTGTAATTACTACCAGATCACATACTCAAAAGTTTTAAATCAAAGATTTTCAGTTAATTGAGCAAAAGTTAAAAATGTTCAACACTATAAAGAAGCGAAAACGAGATTCATATCTGTCAAATTGGCCTCAATAGCAGGCTGTTAGGTTTCATTAGCCAATATGGCAGACATTGCCAGTTGTAGAGAGAGTAGACAAAGATATTTCCTATGAGTTTGATGTGTAAAACTTTGCCAGTTTGACCTCGCTAACGCTAATGCTTTGACTAAACAATATTTGATTATATTTGAGAATCACTKTATGAGCCATRAARGGTGTACAACGTTTTAAMAACTCATTAACGTTGGCGAATATCACTGGCTACAAAAAGTGTTTTCCTTCTCCATTGGACTTCATATTATAATTAAAGTTTGGCGTAAGAGTGTTAAGATTAAAGCAGTATTTTAGAGGCAAAATAGTGCTACGCTATGTAGAGATATCGTTTACAACAATTCTTAGGTAGCTATTTCCATTTGATGTCAGAAGCCAATAAAATGTTCATTATTACGTTGAGCTTTGTTTATTCATTCATTTTCATCCCAACCTGAACATTAAGCCTTTCATCCCTGGCCGTGAAGATGTAAARAGCAGCAAACGATAGATTGCGAGAGGCTAGTTGTTTTTTATTCTTCCATATACTGCCTTGGACCGCAGGCAAAGAGCGACAACAGAACGCGCGAATAGCATACACTGTTCCATTGCTCTGTAAGTTCATACTACATATTTACTACATAGCTTACCCAGTCCCTTTCACACACAATTGTATGATGGACTACTGAGGGAACTGAGGCGTAATAAAATTTCTTGTGTTTTTGAAGTGACATTATCACAAAGCATAGTAATGAAAATCTAATTGACGTTTAAATACTTTAAACCAACAAAGGATTTACTCGTCTTGGTAAAGAATCTGTCTTAAGTCTGCATTTGATACCGAGTACAGTAGTTTGCAGGTCCGTGTATAACACCTTGCCTGACTAACGTTGATATAATTATCGTGCAGAAATGACTTCAATACTGTGACATAATTATGACAACAAAGATTAATTGTACTCGATAATACACTGAAATAAAGCTTCTTACAACCATTAAATGATTTTCTGTATAATGGGGATCACACACATCCCKTTGCAATTCAACTACTTGACATGTCTTTTTCGTTAAGACGGCTGGACGGACAATATCTCTGACTGTGATGACAACTCTGTGGGAAAATGCCTACTAATTGTCTTAAGGAAAAATATTGATGCATGACTGAACGCGCCGCTGATCAGGACGGAATATTTGCGAATTAGTAGAGGCGATTCAAAATCCCTGAATTTCATTCGCTGTTTTCTTTGGTTTTGTGTGACATTGGCCAACGTTTTTGTATTACAGCCAACCGTGTTTAAACACTGGAAGTATTTGAGAGATGATGCTTCCTGCAAGTGGACGAGTTTTAGTATACATTGTTCTTGTAGGAGTGATCATCGTAGGAATCGTTTGCTTTATTAGTGGTATCGTACTAATTGTCAATTCAAAGAAAGAACTCGTACCGGTTGCACTGCCCACTAAATCAGAATACTCCGCCGAAGCCAAAAGAATTGGACTGGAAAAKGTTTTACAAAGAGTACAAGCGCAATACTTTGAGTTGTATCCTAATAGAATAGCTGCAAAACCCGGCGTCACATCAGATGAGGTAAAACGCAGATATAGACCCTTTGATCCAAAACCTAACATCATCAAAACGAGGACTGATGGTGCTAAAAAGGTTATGAAAGAACTCGAATCGCTCGACGTTTCGATGAATAAACTTAAACTTTATGAACAACGTACAATTGACCAAGCTAAATACTGGGTAGGAAGTGTGTTTCCTTATGGTGTTCCGTATGCATACGACTATTATACCGGTGACTGGATGTTAGGTCCTGATATATTTTGTTGGACTCCCACCTGCGCTTCGATGTATGAACTAGAGAGAACCCTGACACATTTTAAACCGATTACATTCCAAGATGTAGAGCTTCTTAAAGTTAGATTACAGCAAGCAGGAGCGGGTTTGTTAACCGATGTTGACAACATGAAATTAGGGGTAGCTGCAGGAATGGTTCGTAATGTCGAAGCATGCAAAAGTGGTGTGGAGACAATGCAGACTCATTTTCGATCGGTCATTACGGATGGGAGTAAAGGTATGTTTGTAGCATTAAATGGTAATGTTGAGRGTGTACAATGTTGCTGAATCATATTTGCACAATTTTTCCTCTACCCATGCATGAACAACGAAAATGCCACATCATTGTACTTTTGAATATCACTGTATGGGTCCCTCTTGATCTGTATCTTAATATTCACATAATGATTATCAACTGTTTTATAGAAACATTGATAGCCAATTTTAATGCTTGTGAACCTATTCAATATGATATACAAACGTTTACCCAAATAATGTTACACTTCCTAATTCATTTTGTCATAAAATCACGCACAAAAACAAATTTTCAGTTATTATGCTTACACTTGAAAGTGTAAACAACTAAGAATGTCAGGGTTGAGGGCATTTAAAGAGAATTATTCTTGCGTAAAATGAACCCTTAAGCTACTAATGGATAGTAAAACAGACAATGATGATACTTGTATGGCACGAAGGATCGATGCCAAAACAGAGTAAATGATGCAATATCCGTCATATTTCCACAAACACTGTACCGGGCCGTCGCTTCCTAGCAACCTAGCCAAGTAGCCATTTCAGTTCTTAAAGGTTTATTTTTCTTGTTTAAAAGGTATTCTCAACGAAAACTTTGCAAAAGTAGTTGTGAATGAYAAGTTTTTTGGTGATTTGAGAGCTGAAGATCAAAGTAGCTGGAAATCGAAATATGGTAAATCGCCCAAGGAGTCAATTGCAGACASCATTGTTGATTCTATTGGCAAACCGATTCAACAGTATCTAAGGTATGTTTTGACATAACATGATGAATATTAGTGCAGCCTCAGGGGCATATATAGAGCGGGGTCACACAAGTTGTCCTTCAAAAACATCATTTAAAAAATGAGACAGAAATGTTATCACGCGTTAAACAACTCCTCATTACGCATCTGAGAATAACGTATTCGATGAAATGGCAATATTGTGAAATAGAAATGGCAATATTGTGAAATAGAAATATTATGTTGTTTTAGATATCTGGAGTTTGATCACAGCAAGCACTGTGTATCGTCTGATATCTCTAGTGGCTATGGTTCACTTCCATTAAAAAACGTCTATGTGGACAGTAAACCCGTGAACCGTTCATCGGGTCGCCTTCCAACTGGTGAACCAATCATGAATGGTAAAGAAACGTACAAGAAATTCCTAGCATACTTTACAACGACTTCCGTTTCTACAGACGAGATTTACAACATTGGCAAAGAATTGATTGATACTTTATATCCCGAGGTATGTTATCTATTATGCACGTCAAGATTAATTGCAAATCAGAAAGAAGGTCGTTTTTACTTGTTCTTTTTCTATAGCTGCTAAAACAAGCAAGAGAATTTACAGGCGCAAGCAACGATGAAGAGGCCAAGAGGAAAATGATGATTGAGTTAAGGAAGCAGAGCAACTTCTTCAACTCAGAACCAATCCCCAAAGAGGAGTCCGATAGCAAAGCACACACTAAGTGCCATAGTATGAAGACAGCCAAGAAACACTGTCCAGTACGTTGGAAAGCAATGAACACATACTTCTCGTATGTCAAAGAGGTCAGTCAATTAGTCCGTCATCGATCTCTTSATRCTATATTGYTGATGCGAAATTTTGCAACTGTTAATGTTTTGTGTTTTCATTTTCAGCTGGCGACTTTCTTGAGGTATAAAATACTTAACTTGTTCCATTACGTTGGTCGCATGGTGACTGTACCAAGTTGTCCAGTAGAACCAGTTGCTAACTTCAATCCTGCGGCTCCTGCTGCTGCGTACTATGAAGGCAATCCCCAGTGCACCATTACAGCTAAGTACTATATTCCTTTCTTCAATGCAAACATGGGTCCTAAATCTGATGAGTGGTCTGTCAGCGCGCATGAAATGATTCCTGGACACCATTTGCAGGTTATTGCACCATGTCATTCACATTGTATGCTGGCAACGAGAGGTGCTTGGGAAAGTACGCGAAAGTAGTAGCGTACTCTTCAAGTATCCATTTGATGTCAGCTTCTATATTCTATGGTTTTAATCAGTTTAATCAGTTGAGTGTATTCAAGGGAAATCTTATAGTCGTTCTCGATTCTTCTTTCAGGTTCAAGGGTATTTTGAGTTTTTCTTACCAAAGGGTGATATCCAGCAATGGATGTCTCGGTCCATTTATTTCTTAACGTTTGCAGAAGGATGGGCATTGTATGCTGAGGGAGATCTCATYGCATCTGARACAGACGCYTATAAAACCATTCCACTCCTTAATTTTACCGCTCTTCGATGGAAGGTAAAAACCATATCCTATATCCATGTCGTAACCCACGAATTAGAATTTGAAGGCTGGGCGTCATTATAATATTCGTTCAGACTACTAGTCCGGCTGATGCTAACCAAAGAGTTGATTTKTTTTTAGGTTTTGCGAGGTGTCCGCTTGATGATTGAGATTGGACTTCACACTAGAGGGATGAAACGATCTGAAGCGTTCAAAATATTATCAAACTACACTTGGGGCGAGGACGACAGAGTAGCCAAAGAGGTAGTATATACAACTCTCTCGGASCTGCTAGGAACGCCTGGCTACGCAGGCTATAGTATATACCGTAACTTTGAGATGATAATATCAGACTGCTATTTTTTTAGTCGAGGCTACTTCTTATTTGACGGGAATCAAATATAATATATTTCAAATAAGACTTTGTTTGGCAAGGAAGGGGTGTSCTGGAACCCATTACTGATGATGGTAAAAATGATGTTAATATCACTTGTTCTATTGCCAGATCACACGCTTCCAGAGCGTTCCAGGACAGGCTGTGACGTACACATATGGTCATCGTGTCATCATGAAAATACGAAAAAAAGTCCAGMAAAGATTGGGCGACAAATTCAATATCAAAGACTTTCACTATCATTTACTGCGCAATGGAGGAACGTCTACCATGGGTTACCTWGAGAACGCCATGGATAAATACACCAGTTGTGAATTGGATAAGACGCAATTTGGCTGCGATGATGTGTTGAATCCTCCTCACACGTCACACAGTGGAAGCTCGAAATATTATCCTGAAGATCGAGCGAGATTCGTCGTCTGCTGAAATACAGATGAAATCATATATTGCTAATTTTTCAGCGGAATGCGTCAGTCGGGTCAGCGTTTAACCGTCGTGGTTAATAGACTAATGACTCGTTTACCGTTAGTCCTGCCCATGATAAACATGTATGTTATTGTTGTTAGTTAAGGGTATCATCAGACCAGCAAAGTATACACTTTTTCTAGAATCTTATACTGCACGAGTATACAGCTGGTCTGACTCGGGAACAGGAAGTCCGATAACCGCCTTTC